TTATTTAAATGTACTTTTCTTCTAAATTCATAATTGTAGCACTCTTAATATCTCCTAAAGAGAATATTTGACTTTTACTTTGTGTTTTTTTAAGTTATTATTTTTTTTCTTGCAGCCCTAATTTTGAGTCAGTATCCAGAACTGCGGAAAGATAAACTCAAGGTTAAAGTAATCAGGGAATGACAGCTAGAAATAGCATGCATTATAAAGAGTCCTTTTAGAACTTGTCTTCTGAAGGTTTTTTATCTTCAGTATTGATCTGTTAAAGCATTCGGGGTACTAAGCATTCTAGTAGCAGAGAAAATATAAAATACATGTATTTCATCAAGTTTCTGATTTGAGAGTAGCACTTTGGTTAAAAGTATTAATATGGAATACACGAGTTCAACATATACACTTGAGTACCAGGCAGAGTCTAGTGTGGAAACAGATACTACTTGAGGAGGTCTCTAATGAGTAGAGGGGTCTTTAATTCAGGAAATGATTACACAGGTGATAGAGCTGAGAAGCCAAACAGGACTGTGAAGCAATACAGGGATTAACAACAGGAAGTCACTGCCATGTCAGAGTGACATTTAGAAAAAGCAAGGCTGTACCATTTCCTATGAACCAAGGTTACCTAGAGATAGCTGGAACTGTAGTAGAACTGTCAAGAAAAGTTGGAGCAAATGAAGAAGATGCTTTGGCTTCTTTCCTCCCTCTCTTCAGTCTCCCACTGCCAGTGTCTCCTTTTGACAGAATGCAGCTGGAAACCAGCTGAGGGGTGTCTGAGAAACACAGGCTGCTCTTTGATATGGAGCAGATTAGTGAGAAGGCCAAGAAAGAATTTTAAGGCAAACAAACCCAGGCCTGATACAACTTGTCAACAGAAACCTCAAAGTACTAATTATATGTTAAATTTTTAAAAAAGTCATAAAATTTAAGGAAAATTGAAATTTAGTTAAAAATTTGGGTTTCAATGCTACCTGATATTTCACTATTTCTTTAAGTATCTTCAAATAAATATTTGCCTAAATTCTTTTTAGCAATTTATTTATGAAGTCATGGAATCGAAAGATTAAAATTGGATATTCGAGGTCATATTTCTAGTAGGTGTTGAAGTTGGGACTACAGCCAGGCCTCCCAGCAGTTTATCCAATGACTTTTTCCCGTCCTATGCTGAAGGGCCAGATAAAAACCAATTCATGCACCAGGATTCTACATGATTCTGATGTTTATGAGCTTTATAATCTTGACCAAGTCTTTTAACGTCTCTGAACTTCAGTGTCTTCCTCTGTAAAATGGGAGTAATGATGCTCATGATGCCTGGCAGGAAAAATGTACTGAAAGGTGAAAAAATATATGGAAAGCTCTTAAAATTTTTTCTGGGATTGTAAAAATTAATATATTATGTATTGTATGTACGGAAAATAGAATTACTTTACCTTCGTTTTCATAAATAATGTTAAAAACAGTTCTTAAATTGATCAATATTCCAAATCATTTTCTCTTTCACCTCCCAGCTTTTTGTTTAACAAAGTACTACTTTAAGGAGGATTTTGTGTTAGAAGATAAACTAATAGTATTTAAAAACGGTAAGTATTTAACTTAGAAAATACAGATTAAACATTTCCATTGAGGAAAACACATTTTTAAAATATATTGAATAGGCTCCTCTTTTCTTCTAAATCTAGATCAGAAAAGCAGTGCAGACTTCAAAGATATCTAAGGAACAAACACTAATAAAGCAACACAAACAAGTGTGGTGGCAGGAGCATCAAAGGCTAAATGAAGTCAGGTAAGAGCTGAAGAAAATTTTAATAAGAGCACCTAGGAATTACTAAGATTTGCAGTTATTTAGTTAGATAGTCTATAATTGTCTATTAAACAATAATAATAAAAATTTAAAGTTATCATTTGGAATTTAATAGATATATTAATATGGATTTCGCTTTTCTTAGGGGGAAAAAAAGACACTATTTTCTAATCACTTTCTCTTCTGCACTCCCACTCATACTAGCAATACACCTAGCACAAGGGCAAGCATCCCATCATATTCATCTTTTCATTGGAGGATACATAGCAGGAAATGTATAAATGATTTCAATAAATTAATGCATAAATAAACTAAAGGGTTCAAGTTGTTCAGTAATTTCTAGATGTAGCTGTATCATGACTAACATTCAATTTGTATTTTTGACTTTGTTATTATTTCCAGCAGTCACTTCAAGATGAATTAAAACTAATGATTCTATACTTGATCTTAACTGTAATTTTTGAAAAATAAAATTCAAAAGTCAAGGCAAAAAGAGAAGGCAGGTGTGTTCTCCCTCCATTTGAGGTACATATACCAGTAGATGATCATTATATTTATAAAGTATGCTTTTTAAGTGTATATTTATATCAGAATAGTTAACTTTTGTTGTCTTATTCTAAGTCAAATCTCCAAATACCATTCACTTTAATTTTGATGTAGGTGCTTTTTATAGTAATAAGAGTTTCTTATTCTGGCAAGAGATTCCTACAAGTAAAAGGCTTGTGATTGGAAGTGCTTTTACATCACAGTATAACTTAAAACATGGAAAAATGAGATTATATAGACTTTGTTGCCATACTGCTGCTAAGAAAACAAATCAGACCCATCTTATCCCTCAAAAAGTTATCGTTTGTGGAAAGTTTGAATCCATTAGAAAAAGTTTTTCTTGAAAATTTGCATAACTTGAAACCTGATAAAGAAAGCTGTTAGGAGGTTTTAATTATGGTGCTCACTGATGCAAGCTCAAATGTGAAGGAAGACATGAGTGAAAGTTTTTTGTTTTTTTTTTTATCTTGGCTGTTCCATACTCTTCTTAATGTGTATATTAGGCTGTTCTTGAGCTAGATAGAAGAGGTGTATACATATCATTGTGGAAAAATTGACCTGGAATGACACAAAGATGATGGAAATGAGGAACTTATAAGGGCTGAATATTGGACCAAAAAAGGAATTCCAAGAAAAATTTTTGTGTTATTCTAGAAAGTAGGCTAATTTCAATATATGTTCAGTGAAATTAAGAAATAATAGTGAAAGGAGGACAGTTAGAGTGTGGCTAGATTTGTGGAGAATTTAGGAACCATCAGAAAATCAGGAGTTTAAGCTCTATCTTTAAAAGTCTATCTTCCCTTTTAATAAAAAAATTAAAAGTAAAGTATTCTTATGCATCACTATGAGAGGCTCCATTTGAGAATCTCAGGCCTGCAGAAAGTAAGGGCCTCAGTTTGGTTGGGTAATTTAGCATATACCAGGTACTATGTTAAGTACTTGGCATGCTTTATTTTATTTACTCCTTACAATGACCCTGCAGAGGTCATTTAGGTATCAATGCTATCTCCACTTTACAGATGAGAATCTTGAGGTTCAGAGGATTAGTTATTTGCAGAAAGCAAATCAGCTAGTTTATTTGAAGGTGATATTGGAGCTCTTATCTTTAACTCCTGTTGTCCATGAACTTGAAGTAGAGCAGCTTTTTGTTTTTTCCACAGAGTCCCATTCATAGTACCTGAGATCTAATTGGTTTAGCCTTTGTAGAAAAAAACGATTTTGCCAAACTTTAATGCCTTGAAATCTGTACTAAGGAAACAAGTCACATAAAATTTTCAAATATGAAATTATATTTTATATTTAAATTTATAAAATTATATTAGTAATTGATATGTTTTCTCAAGCTACACCTCTTGAAGACTGATATACTTCCCCAGGGTTCCTTGCTCCCTTGTTTCAGAATGGCCAGTTTAGAGGTTTAAGAGACAGTTATTTATATTGGTCATGTGATAAAGAGTTATAATTTTTATTTTAATAAGAGGTTTTGATTAATAAAGTTTGGGCTTTTGGTCCACCTTACTACTTTTACTATAATGCCTACAAGGGATGTTTTTAACCAAATCTCTGTTAGAAATATATGTAGTCTCTTGCTCACAATTTTAGTTGTAAAGCATTATTTTAAAAATATCACCTTTATATAAATCGTTTCATAGGGTTTTACCAACAATTAAATGTTGTCTGGAAATGTGTCTTTAAAGATAAAATTGAGACCAGTATTTAAACCATGTGACTTAGGGCACTGGAGAACTCTCTCTGAGCCTAGCTACTGAACTCATTCCTTCGCCAACAGTTGTGAGACTTCCTTCTCTGGCCTCTGTGTACGCTCACTTGGGAAGACTTTTAATAGTGAGAATCGGATCAAATAGCTGAGTCTAAGATGTCTGTGCTACTGAGTTCCTCCCTTGTTGGAGGGCTAAAGCTTTGGTCTTCAGCCTGCTCTGGTGTCCTAATTTTCTGCAGCTCTCCTGGTTGGTAGTTCCACGTATGGAACTAACAGATTCACTTGTTCTGCCTTTCACAACCCAAGTTTCTTTGCTTATTGTTTGCTAAATGGCTTCTGATTTACCACTCTCTTGTACCCCATGCTTCACTTGTTTTGCCAAAATTAGTAACTAAGTGGTTGCTCTAGAAATCTCAGGAAGCTCCGGGTAATTGTTGATGTTCTGAGGAGACTGATTCTACACCTAGAATGTGGGCACCATCCTGGCAAGGCCGAAGACCTGTACTGAGAATAGACTCCTGAGAGCTCAAAAACACCCTTCTCTGGGCTGGTTTATCTTGCAGGTAGTTGCATTGCAACTAGGCATATCTAGGAAGTAGATTAATATATCATCCAGGCAAAAGGTCACACAAAAACTCAAGAGATTTTGTAGCGCCATCATATTCAGTGGTACCAGAGGAAAGGCCAAATAACATTAGGAGGCACTAAAATTTGCAGATTTAGACACAGAAAGTTGCCTTACATTCAATTGTCCCCTCTTCAGATCTGGAGGAGGTTGCATGTACTACAGAGTTCTAAGAACACTTGGAACCTAGTCTAGCATGTCAGTGATAAATAGGACAGGGTTCTCTTCTCCAGAGTTATCATTTTTAATATCCTATGTCTATTGCAATTTTAATCTATATTTTCTAAATCATCCTACAAAAGAGAAATATTCTTCCAGATATTGTATGGCTAATAGTGGATTTCATGGTCCTGTAAATTAGGGAAATATATTTCATTCCCTTTTAGAGAATCTCAATGCATTTTATCATAATCAAGTTTCTAGGAAATCCACACCATAAAAACTTGTCTGATTTTATTTAGTTTACCATTTCCCATATTTCTTTCCTTTCTCCTTGACATTACTGTTTTATAGAACATAATTTGGGAAATATTAGCCGGCTTTCACAAGCTAGTCTCAGATTCTTGTAGTTCTTGAGGACATAAAAAATGCTTCTGGATTTTTTGGGCTCTCAGGACAATTAGAGAAACGAGCTAGTCTTTTCTGATGACTCAGGATTGTTAATCTATGAAGCCAGGATGGAGCTTACTAGAATGGTTAAATACAAAGTAGCAGGTTGATCTGTACGAACAAAGCTACTTCTCCTATTTGTTTGTATGTTCTACCATGGCTTTCTGGGTACTGACAATATAAGGGAATTGAGCTGGATGGTTTATAAGTACTATGTTTTTGTTTAAGCAAATCCATTATGAAATAACTTCTGGTTTTACTCCACCGTTATACATCCATCCTCTCTTTAACAGTTTCAAATTTAATCTTAAAGATACTTCTGGCAAAAACTGCATGCTGGAAAAATACATGGTGAAGTATCATCTATAATAGCACCCCTCCTTTATATATATATATAAAAAACCCTGTCCCCTGTAAGTGAATTGGCTTAGAAGATGAGGGCACATATAAAAAATAATTGATAATTGTGAGAATTATTTAGATATATCTTAAAAAATTATTCAAACCCCCACTATAAAATGGTAAATGTGCCATAATTACAACTATTTAAAATATACAAGCATGTAGACAAGTGCTAGAAACTTATAGAAAAATGAAAATAATCATGGAATTGAAGTGTTGTAATTGTTGCTATTTTAAATTTTATGCCATTTTAATATTGTATTTTAAAAATGGTAATAAATCAAAACTATTTTCTAAGATTTCATTAAATCTGCCATAAGCAAGGGATAGACTACAATATTTTGGGATGTCCATTTAGAGCTGGTTATGATTTTACTCTAAAAATGACTATATTTAAATAATATCATAAAAGATCATAAAGATTTGTTACTTTTATTTGTGTATAAAAATAAAGTATATCTTTTCTCCCATTTTTCTAGTTCAGGACCTCATCTTCTCTTAACTTTTAAAATAAACTCCTTGTTGGTTCTGTTTTACCTGATCCTCTCCTCCTCATTTTCCATTTTTATTGATCACCCCTCTTTCCAGCCCATCCTGCATCCTGCTGCCTTGGGAATTTTTCTAAAACACAGATCTGCTGAACAGGCTAGTAGTGCTTGCCTTTGTTCACATGTTACTTCTACCTGAAATGTTCACTTATGTTTCTTTCTAGCTTGGTGTCTAGCCCTTGCAGGAAATTCAGTTTTGTCTAAAACATCTACAGAGATATTTGGTCTATGCCAAGAGGTCCTTGATAATTATGTACATAATTAATATAAACCCTGCTCTTCTGCACAATTCCAACCTAGACCCATCTATCTAACCCCATTTGACATTACCAGGTAGTCTACTGAGGCAAGAAGGGTTATTATTGGCAATATAGCCACAATATAATTATTGGACCAATAAAACATGATAACATTTTTTATGTATTAATCCCGTAAACTAAAAGTAGAAACAAATATTATGGACTATTGGAACCCAGGGACATTTTGTAAGCATGGATGTTTTTGACAGGACCAAATATCAAAGACCATTTGACATGGACCAAATATACTCATGGACATTTTGCACAGAACTGTATTTCAAGGACCTTTTGGTGTGGACCAAATGTCTCAGTGGGCATTTTGGATGGGACCAAATGTCTGCTAATTGTGTCTGGCAAGTACCTAATCCATGTTAAGAATTTAGTATATGGTCTACATAAATAAACAAGTGGATAAAACCACAATAGATTAAATTTCTACTACTAGTTATTTTTTAAACCTATACATGTTTGTGATTATAAAAATGATTGAGATAACGTCTATTTCAGATGTAAAATGGAATTTGAAATAAAACTTTTTCTCAATGAAGAGAACATTGGAAATGAATGTCTTTCTGACCTTACAAATTTTGGTGAGTTTTTTTTTTTTTTTTTTTTTGATCCTATATTTAAAGGGGAATTTTGTTTTGAAGATGAAAGTGGGCCATTCACTTCATGTTCTTTTAATATTAACTGCTCTTTTTTTTTTGGTAAATGGATCCAAAAATAAATTTGTACTCTAAGAAACTGGTTTTGAAGAAACTTAAAATAATGTGTTACCTTGATTTAATTTTGTTTCACCATAGAACAAGAGCTATCAGAACAATGGTGCATATATCTGAAAAATGTGATAAATCCTATTCAGCAACTGAGAGCAGATTTAAAATATAGACAGCATCACATTTCGCAGAATTCACATTCACATACTCAGTTAAACTCAGTGAAAGTACTGGAAGAGGTTAGTATATTACCTTTACTTTTAATAATCTAATAGTTCATTTATGTTCCAACTAGAACAGTTTGAGATAACAAACATCTGTGTCTCATGTATTTTAATGAAAAGTATAGCAAATGTGGTCTACTCAATTTCTTAAACATCCCTGAAGCTGTCTAAGCGTGCTCATTTCTCATCTGGAATGTTAAAGTGGCCACATAACTAGTCTCTCTGCTTTCATTCTTGTCCCTCCTCCCAGTGAATTCTGGGATCTACCTTCAGTGCAGGGGGATCAAGTCATGCAGCTGGTCTCCCCTCAGGGCTCCTGCTGGGCCATAATTCCTCCCTATACATCAGGCTCCTCTCTGCTTCTTCAACCTCATCTCCTACCTGACATCCCCTTTCCTCCTAGATATCGTCCCACTGATGCTTCCTCACACATGCCATGCTCCTTCATGTCTCAAGGCCTTTGCACTAGCCATTTCCTCCATCCCACCGATGGCACTTTTTGACCTTTAGATCCTCGCTTAAAAGACCTCTCCTCTGAGAGGCCTGTCCTGATCACCCACATGAGAGAAGCCACAATCACTCCCTATTATCTCACCCTGTTTTTACATTACTTACCTCTTCCTGATACTTAGCTATTTTTCGTTAGTTTATTTGACTACCTTCCCTGACTAGAGTATTAACTCCATGATCATAGTTGCACTACCTGTAGGCTTACAGGTGATTTTTTTTTTTATTCTATTTTTCAGTTATTCTCTAGTGTTGTTATATTGCTTTCATAAAATATTAAAAATCCCATGCCCAGCTTGAGATTTGAGCAAGGATGCAAGGGAAGGAAGGGGTGATTGAAACAAGACAATCTGATAAGCTCTCTGTCTTACCATAAACAAAGTCGAAATGTGGGTGTAGAGTGGCTAGGAACCCCCTGTATTTCCGAGGCCCATTTTTGGATTATGTGTCTGGAAGCTTCCTGATAAGCTCTGCCTGGCTGTGGTATCTCTTGAGCCCTCTTCTTCAGATCCTCAAGGGATTTTCTCTCACCTTATTTTTCATCACTTATTGGCTTTAGAGAATAATTCCTGAAACTTTAAGTATGAATATTGGATGAATCACAATTATTTGCATGCTACTTATTTTAAATGTCTTATAGGTTGACTCTGTGAAAGAACAATTGAAAGCTGTCTTTGAAAAACTTAGCCTGGAGCAACAGAAATTAGAAAATAATCTTTCAGAGTGGAATATAAAAGTAAGTGTGACACAGATAGTAATTTGTTTATTTGTCATTTGTGTTAAATAAAACGATCATATAATTTTTTTTTTTTAGATACTAGACCATTCTTCAGAAGAAAAGAATAACCTGCTTAGTGAACTTCCCATGGAATTAGAAACTTTGGAATGCCCATACCCTGATTTGAAATCTTCCATTTGTAACGAGTTCTGTAATTTTACAGAGAAATATCAAAAGAAACTTCAAGATTTTGATCTGCAGTTAGAAGACATATACAGGTAATAAGATGAAACTACTTGAATTATATAGATTTTTGCCACTAAATTTTTCCTTTTGCGGGAAGTTAGTATACTTCTGATTTACTGTTTTCATAGTTACTATGTGATTGGAATACAGTCAATCAATAAATATTTAGATTGACTATTTGTTGGAGAGGTTTTCTTTTTCTTCAAAATAATTTCCCTGCAATAATGGTTTCAAAGATTTTTATAAGGTCGAAACATGATGAAAATAGCCCTCTCCTTGAGCTTTTACCCTCTCAGATAAGAAATATTAACAAACATGAAATTTCAATAACTATGAATTTTCATTTCAAGATGTGAAGCTCCTTTTCAGTGGAAATTTACACATCAGCACTAATAATTGGTTGCAATGGAAAATGTAGCCACGGAATTATGTCATTTGTAATACACTGTGATTTTCTCTTACAGTAAACATAAAGTATATTTTGTTAATTTTCAAAAACATGCTAAATGTTTTTAGAAAGTGTACTTTTGGTTTTATCCTGAGAATGATAATTCTCTTCTGAAAGACAAGCATAATGTTAAGTGATTTAAAATTCAGTTTTGGCCGGGTCTGCCTCTGTGTAAATTCTGTTTTAAAATTTATTTAATGAACAAAGTCAGAAGTGCCATTGTGGGTCACATCAACAGTTTACCTCATGTAATGTTCAGCAGATAAAGTTTCTAGGGAATATTTTGTAGGAAGAGATGGTTTTACTCTATCATATTGACCTCGAAATTTCTCCCTAAGAGTATATACTTAAAAAGACAGAAAAAATATTGAAGGGACACATTCATAGTGTCCTTTTACTAAGGGCTGTCACTTTGAAAAGGAAGAAAATAAATATGACAAATATCCATATTTCTTAACATTCCTTAATGAAATGCCTATAAGTGAAACTCCTTTATATAAAATTACTACTGTTAAGAAATGAATAACAACAAGGAAAACCTTAAATCCTACCAAGTAGTTCTCTATTTTATTAGCTTCTTGATCCAAAGCCTTCAATCACTGCTTCCACATGTCTCAGCACACTCGGAGAGGCAATCCTAGGTGAGGCCTGCCTGAGGCTTTCCCTGTTTAAGCTTTTTTCTTACACCTCTGTGGTGATGGTCCGTCTTCCTCCCTAATAAACACCTTTCAGTCTCCTAAGAACCTCCTCTCTCCCTGCATTTTTGCCTTCCTTTTTGCCTTCTACCTTGCAATAAAGTTGAGGAAAAAATTAATAATAAATTATTTATATGTGTTGATTGATTAATTTCACTTTAATTGAAACGCAGTCACAATGAAGTGTTAACTCAACCATGCACTTAGTTTAAGTCTCTAATCGTAAACTAAATATCCTCTCTCGCTTCCCCATCCTAACCTTGTTTAAGAGATTTTGGAACTTATCAAGCAAGAGGGAGAGAGTTTTATTTTGATATTTTTGTTGTTGTGTTTTTTCTTTTCTTTTTTGAGAGGTTCATTATAAGTAGGCTGATTTTGGCTGTGAAGAAGGTAAATCTGACCCTGTCCTTTTAAAGCAAGTTAGTTGCCTCATGACTTTTTTTTTCCAGATCGCATTTTGTCCCCCTAGCAAAGGTAGCTGAGTTTATAGTGTTTCTAGGTTAGCAGCTCCTAAACATGGAGAAGCTTGCCCTAGCTGTCTGTAATGCCTCCTTTCCTCTAGGACCCATACTTCACAGCCCGTTTTCCTACATTTCTTTTAATCTGAACTTAATTTCTGAACTTAATTTCTTCCTTCATACAACACTGTACCCTTCAAAAAATTGACATTTCACAGCTCCATTGGCATTACTGAAGACTGAGAAAATAAGATGAATATACATCACATGCTAAGGGAAGGAACACTGAGGAAAAAATACCATAGGAAGGCTTGATGGAGGAACCAAAATTCACATGGTGTTTGAAGAATTGGTAGGGTTAGAATAAGACAGAAAAGGGGTTGGGAGGACATTCTAAGAAGGAATATTAAATATCTAGACTATAAACCCTTTGAAGACAAAGTAATTTATTAGCAATATTTATATCTTTAGTGTCTAGGATATCCCAGTGCATAACAGCTTTTAAATAAAAGATTGTTCAATTGAGTTGAATTAAAGGTAAAAACAATAAAGATGAGAGTGGCAAGGCATATTATGGGGGCAGTAGGAATCTATTTTGGCAGAATATAGGTTCACAAATCCTTGTTTAGTAGTCTGCTTACCTTACCGCATATAATCATCCAGGATAAATTTTATAAAATTAATGATGTTTTACTTGATGGATATTTATTGGGTAACCCCTAATACACAATGGTCTCTGCTGAGCTCCTTCATAAAGGGTTCACCAGACAGAGTAGACCAGAAAATGGCTTTTCCTTTAAGAAGGCTTGGAATATTTAGTGAAGCAGCCTATATACGTGTACCCTGAACAAATAAAAAATACATGCAAACATCAATGAAGAGACTATTTTATAAATATGCTGACAGTGAATGATGAAGCATCAAGAAAACTGAATGAAGTTTCGGGGCAGTTTCACTGAAGAGAAAGTGAGTAAATGGACTATTTTGAATAAATACAAAGGTGGTGGGCATCTGCAGTCTGGCTGGTGTGCATTAAGGCATGCAAACGTCCTGTTCTAAATAGCACAATGAATTATATGTTGAAATGTTGTTATATTAATTGGTCTTCCAGTTTGCCAGTATCTGCCATTATTTCGATATAGCCATTTCTCCTTTTGGTTCCAGTTATTAGGCTTCGTAAGAATTCACATAGATTGCACATGCATGTACACAATTGCACAAATAAATGTGTGCGTATATTAAACAGATGCATACCACTATGACATAAGAAGGTTGAAATATGTGGAAGACATTTTTAAACTATAAGTTTTCATTGGGCTAAAGGCAGTGGACATTATGGTTAATCCCAACATTTATTTTAATTCTCTCTATTTTATAGCAGCTCACTGGTTTGGCTTAAAATGACTCCATCCCCAGATCTAAAGGTAGGCCCAGGTGGGAGGTGCGTACCAGTCAGTAAATATATTTTCTCAGGCCACAGTGACTAGCTCATGGTGGTCCAAATCAGGACAAAGCTCAGAACTTTTGTTAGATACAAAAGGAGTAGCACCTTTTCTTCCCTGTAGTTGTACCAAGAAAGTCCGTCGCTGTGGTTTCTGCTGGCAGCTGTCCTGTGAATGATGGAAAATAACACACCGGGAGAGGACAGAGCCCAGATAATCATGGGGACACTGAGCTGGTACCTTGTTTGAACAACATGGGAAGCCAACCTCAATGTTGGATTTTCAAGGGCAATTAGTCCACATTAATGTCTTAAAACTGTCTGAGTAGGGTTTTAGTTGCTTGCAACCAAAAACATCTCTTATTTTATGCAATAGTTGATTTAATTTCAAAATATTCATAACTTATTATGTACTCTATCAATTTAATACAATTGCAGTTGAAGAATTGTTAAAAAATAATTCCAAAGTTTATTAGGAAGAGTAAGCTCATAAAATCAGGCAAAATTTCAAAATGAAGAATAACTGGGGTAGGAGGTAGAGATGAAACTTACACAGCTAAATATAAATATATAATATCAAAATAAATTAGAAAGTTTTATATATCTGTGGAATATGTAGCAGAAAAGGAGAGCAAAATAGAAATACAGAAAACAGAAAATATCTATAATTTAATTTATTAGAAAGGAAAATTTTCAAATCTAAGGGAAAGATTGGATTATTTATAAGATAGCATTAAATGACAGGCAATTAGAAAATAAGGTTAGATCTCTTCCTTATTTTATATAACTCAATAAAACTACAGGTGCATTAAAATGTGAAGAAGAAAAATCATAAAAGAATGAAATAAAGACAAATATTAAGAATCCTTGGAGTGTGGAAAGCCTTTTAAAATATGTTACCTGCTGTGAAAATTGTAAAGAAAAAGTTTAAATAAACGCAATGACATGAACATTAAGAAAAATCTAAAAGGATGATTTCTCAGACAAGTTTTAAATCTTTAAAGAATCATTAGAGACTTTCAGTTTCTGATCCAGCACATAAAGAGCTTGGAATTTACCACTCTGCTTTGAAAAGCTGAACAAACAAAAAAATCAACAACTCTTCGTAGATACATCAAAAAAATAAGGTCACAAGACAAACCATTGCCTCCAAAATTGGAGATACAGGTAAAATGGAAAGTCACAACTTACTTGAGAGGAAACCCATGAGCAGAAACCTCCATAGGAACAAGATGGGGTAGGAAAACCTGAACTGTAATTGATTAATTGCTGGAAGCAGAATATAGTCAACTCTGGAAGTTAAAAACTCTAGGGGGCCTTAGTCATGGAAAGGGATGGCACACACTTGTGAGTTTTACTTCCAGAAGGCCTACCATGTACTAGCAATAAACATCTGAGAAAAATCTCCTTGACCCTCTGGCAGTGGGATGGAAAAAGGAATTATTTTTGAAATACCCCAGGAAGTTCTATTTTTCTTAATAAGGGCTGCCCTCAGGAGAAACTATTTTGATAAAACTAGAGCCTAAATTGCTGGGGTTTTATCAGAGCCTAACCTACCTAAGGGCAGGAAAATACCTAACTCCAACCCTCTCTAGCCATCCTGTCCCACCTAAAGGGGGAGAAAAAACTGAGGACTGGTGAAGTTCACAGCCAGGGGCACAGGCTCATCAAAAGACAGACCTAATATAGGACTATAGAAAGCTTCTTCCCCAGTGTCCCCCACCCCCCCCAATATGCATCACCACTACATTATATACTAAAGGCTTATCAATAGCAGATTTTTTTACCCAGTATATCATGTCAACCTTTCAACATCAACAACAAAATTACAAGGCATACTAAGAGGCAAAAAGTTCAATTTGAAGAGACTGAGCAAGCAACAAAATGAGGATGAGATGGCAGAAATGTTGGAATTATCAGACTAGGAATTTGAAAACAAAAAAGCTCTATGATTAATACGCTAAGGGCTTTAGTGGAAAAATTAGACAGC